TGAACATTAAATGCAGGCCAAGGAACACTAGACACTTTGCGGTGAAGGGCCCAACAAGGTGAGAAATTGCAACTGAGCCCGGCCTATACACACAGGCCATCTGGTTTATGTTTAATGTTATTTAATTGTAATAAATATTAAGCAAACAAAATCCGTTCGTTGTGAAATTGAAAAATAGGAGTTTTATGTTGTCAGTTATCCTGCTGTTTGTATTGCCCCTGTGTGAATAATTTGAAGGCAGGAAGTTCATTTCTCTGTGCACATTTGGCTGGAATTCCGCACACATGTTTTCTCCTCTGTTTCCATAACCAAGAGTGTTTGTTTGTTTGTTTGTTTTAACTTTAAAAGCACCAGCTGTGATTCAGGGAAGGAGTTTGGAATATTCCAAAGGAGGTTGGTCAGGGTTTGTTTTTCCTGCTCAGGCCTGCGAGCATGTGTGTTTATGAGCATGGTGTGCTCAGAGACAAGCACATCTGAGAAACCTCCGAATTATGCTCAGTTGTTCAGATTTTGGTTTTTCAAACAGCGTGGCTGTTTGATAGGCAAAAAAAATGTGTTGGATTGTTTGACAAGAACCACCACCATATCATATCTAACCTATTTTTTGCTTACAGGGTGATGCCCTGGCAGATATACTGGGCTACATTCAGATATGCTGACAAAAGTAGCTAAATTCTGTGCAGCTGCAATTAAAATCCGTGAAGGAAAGGTTCCACCTAAAGCGCAGCTATAGAATCTGTAAATTGGTGTATACCAATTTGGTATAATGATCACACTGGCTCTATGAGCTTCGAAGTAACAATTTTGGCATTCTATGCAAGCTGTAATAGCCCATAGATAAGGCCTATGATATTGAGGTAGGAGATATTTAGTAAGATGTATATATGTATACAGTGGTGCCTCGCATAGCAAGGTTAATCCATTCCGGATTAACCCTCGCTATGGGAAACATCGCTGTGCGGAAATAAAAAAGCCATAGAAACGCATTGAACTTCGTTCAGTGCGTTCCTATGGCTTGAAGACTCACCGTTGTGCGAAGTTCTTCCATAGCGCCACCATTCTTGCGCCCTCGGTAACCGAGGGCAGGGCGCGAAAATGTGGCGGGGAGCATCTGGTGGCCATTTTGGAACTGACGATCAGCTGTTCTCCCCCGCTTCGTTATGCGATATTCGCTAAGCGAAGCGCTTAGCGAATATGTATAGATGTTTTTAGTGCTTTGGTGTTTTTATTGTTTTTAATGTTTTTAGATTGTTTTTATGTCTGCTAATTTAAATAATGTATCTTACTTTTGCTGGTCAATGTCCGTAATAAACATTTATTATAGTATTAGGGAGATCTAACCTATTCCGTTGGTATATGGTTTCAGAAATTAAACAGGATAGGGCCAGATTTGTACCAGCTCGATCTGGAGATTTCTGGGAAGATCACTAGAGATCTCCAGGCAGGGCTAGGAGAGAATTTTGCCTAAAACCCTGGGCAGACAGCACTGGACCCCAAGGGACCACCAACCTAAGAAAGTCTTCTGAGCTTGGCTCAGCTCTTTGTGAGCCCTGATTTGTCCTTGTTCAAGTTGAGACGAAAAGGATTGTACATTGGGCACCTGCTTCTACTGATGAAGGAGATGGAAATAACCAGAAATGCCAACCCATGTATCTGGGATTCCATCCAACTAGCGGCTGTAAGACTGCTTTTTACAAATGCCATCCAGGAGAGACCAGCAGCGGGTTCGCCTGGTTCAAGAGTGGTTCTGAGAGGACGGATTTGCCTCTACGTACAGGCAGACAAGTTTGTTTTGAGTGAGCTGATGGTTCGTTTGCTGCTGCCCTCTTAGGTTTTGGCTAATGACTGCTCTGTGATACACACCGCCCAATTCATTTGCTAGCCTGCTGTAATATTTTGTAATGATGTTTTGTAGCTCGAGCCCTTGAAAAAGCTTTTCCGAGGAGAGACTTGACGACCAATGATGTGGCATTAGGCTCCACCTAGTGCTGCTTTCCTGCAGCTGGTTTTGCTCGTTGGAAGAGCTGCAGACGTCTTGGAACATTATTTTTATGCTAAATTGCATCAAAAGACATGGAAAAACCATTAAGGCTGGTCTGGTCCTGCCAGAGAGGGTGGTGGCATGGCTGCCTCGGGGCAGGATATCTGGTTTGTCACAAAAGGTCAGCAAATTGTTAATTGTTTTGCTTTATTTTTGTATTTTTGCCAAATATTGAGAAAATTAGTTTTTGCCAGAACGTCATAGCCAGCGAGCCTGTCTACCAGCCACGTTGCCTTCAGGATTCTTGGAACTGTAGTCCCAAAATAAACTTTTCCAAGCTCTCTTTTCTCCTGCCAGGGAGAGGGAGAGAAAATCCTTGCCATTTTTTTCCAGCTTTATGTGCATAAACCAGCTGTCCAGCTCTGGTTAGTCTGTACTTTTTTGTGGCTCTGCCTCTGGTGGTGAAATGTCTCAGCCAAGCCTCCGGAGCCGTCCATCTTCTGACATAGCCCAGGATAGACACCCCTCTCCCCCAATTCTGGAGTAACAGCTTCCCTATTACGGTAAGATGCTGCTCTGTTTCCCATCCATAACTGGCCAGTGGCAGAAAGATGGTCTGGCTCCTGAGCATCATCCTGTCTCTACTCAGTTATTCATGTTTAAAGGGCATTTATTTATATTACATTTTCATGTCATTTCGTTTTCATGATAAAAACGATGGTAAAAGGGAAGAGAAGGGAGATGTAGGATGGGGGTGTAGTTACAAGGTCTTACTAGAACGGGTGACAAAGTGGACTTGTCCATAAAAGCTTACTTTGAAATACACTTGGACATCTGTATCCACAGGGGATCGGTTCCAAGCCCACCCCCTGCCAATGCTGGAAAACATGGATTCATACCAAACATTATTTTATTTGTGAATCCTATAAATTTCATGGTGTCTGGCTCGATCTAATAGCCAGTTCTGGTAATTTAACCATTACAAATTTATATATTGGGGATTTTTCTTTTAATATTTTCAGACCGTGGATAAATGAATCAGTGGATATTGATCCCACGGATAAGGGTCCCCTACTGTATAGCACCTTAGTCTTTAAGGTGCCACAACGTTTTTGTCTTCTTTAATTTTTTATTTTACTAGAAAGGGCAGCCATGAAGAGGACCTTGGGCTGGTTACTCTTTCTCAGTCTTCCTTACCTAATAACATTCTAGTAATAAAAAAAAATACGGAGAGGAAGGCTATGCCTTTTGAGCAAAACAGGATATAAATGTGAGAGGAGGTAGTGGTAGTACACACAGACACACATGCGCGCGAGAGAGAGTGTGTGTTTCCATGGCTCAGTGTTTAGTGAGCCACAATCAGGGCGGAATAATGGAACCAATTTAGCATTGAGGCTGCAAGAAAGGCAGTAGAATAGTAGACGTGTTGTTTTGTTACTTTAAAATGCATCTTAACAGTCAGTTTAAAAATTTGTCTTGATAGGTTGACTATTACAGCAAGAGTTAAACAACAACAAGAACAGCAACCAGCTGTCCTAAAAAGATATAAACTGGAAAGACCATCAATAACTCAGCAGTCAGTAAAATCGATAAATCAACAAAAAATGGCTGAAACACACTTCACTTTAAACTTTCGAACTGCTGAATTAAAAAAGAAAGTCTTAAGAGATCCTGCAAAACCACAGAAGCACAGTTTAATTTTAGTTTAAAATCTTGGTAAATAAAAAGGTCTTAATCTAGTGGATGAACAAAAAATAATGATATATATCTCATTTAGTCCTGCTAGAGAGATGCACCATTACTGCAAAGTAACTGAAAAGAGGGATACTTGGAGAAGTCAGCAATTTTTAGAGCTCAGATAGGTTTAAATGGAGATAGTTGTTTCAGCCATGATTACACTGGCTCTGCTGTGGCTTGATTTGCACCCCGTCTTAATCTAGTGGATGAACAAAAAATAATGATATATATCTCATTTAGTCCTGCTAGAGAGATGCACCATTACTGCAAAGTAACTGAAAAGAGGGATACTTGGAGAAGTCAGCAATTTTTAGAGCTCAGATAGGTTTAAATGGAGATAGTTGTTTCAGCCATGATTACACTGGCTCTGCTGTGGCTTGATTTGCACCCCATTTTATGCTTCTGTATGGATTAAGTGATCACATGGAGAATTGCAGCTTGTTTTGGTACGCGTGTCCAAACTGATGTGGTTTGATCCATTTCCTCCATCTGATGTGGTCTGATCCATTTCAAAGCCCCCCTTCCTTTGATCTCATTCTCCACTGATCTCCAGCTCCCCTTTAATGGTTCATTGTAAAACCAGTGGGCTATTTGAAGTGTTCCAAGATGTTAGGAAAAAGGGACCAATTTTCCAGAGTTTTCTATGATATACAAACATATGCACACTGCAGAAACATGGGTGTTTTCTAGAGGCAGAGTAAGTATGAACAAACTTCCTGTGCCCAGGAATGTCTGCAGCTGGCATACTTTATGCCGTGGATGTGAACATCTCCAATAAGAGCCAGGTCCAGATCAGAAAAGTTAAACTAATTCTGAAGGTGCCACTTAAATGCCTATGAGCAAATATTTCCCAAGAAAGGAGTACAGCTTTTTATGTTATTATATTAAGTATTCAAACTGATGACCTTTACGATTGCATTTTATCTTTCTTACAATTTGGTAAAACTTCTAAATGAAAGTGTTCGTTTGGAGGTGGTGTTTTTTTTGTTTTGTTTTGTTTTTTGGGTCGTCTGGGCAGTAGGGGGCAATGACTTATTCAGGTGAATAAGTCACAAGTTTTAGCAGTATACATTCAATGAATTGCTGAAGGGCGATTTGCTGTGTTAGTCTCTTGCAGCAAAAGTATGTTCAATTATAGACACATCAACATCACCGGTCTTGGAGTGAACATTGCTACTCCCAAATAGACATCACTAGTCCTGGGAGTTTTAATCTCAAATGTTCCACAGGTTCTTCCCAATTGTACTATGTGCTGATGGAAAACTTCTGCCTCATCTTTCAGGAGCCTGTCAAAGAAGAGGTGGCCCCAGAAGAGATTGTGCAGCCAGAGGAACCAGTGAGTCCTAAGAAGCCAAAACCAAAGGTAAACCTGGATGATATCGTGTGATTGCGTTCGTTAAAGATTTGAAGCAGCTCCTCTCTTTTGGTGGGAAATGACGACTGAGCCTCCTTTGAAGTATTAACAGATTTATTTGTTTTAACATTTGGTGATTCCACAACAACTTCTGTGGGTTCAAAACAAATGAGATCCGGCAACTGTCCAAAGACGAGAACTCAGTGTGTAAATTGGCCAGGTTCATTGAGGGGCTGGCCTAAAATGTTCCCGGTCAGTGAGTTTCCTCATTGGAGCCCTCCGTACCGTACAGATTGTCCCACAACAAGGGTGTCTGGCCCAGTCTCCCTCTGGTGGTGGTTGGCTGAAGGATTGGTCTGGTTAGATCACCTTCCTCGAGTGACCTGGTCCCCGAGGAAAGACCACAATTGTCCATTCTAGCACCTTTGTCGATGTTTCCTTTTCCTTTGACAAGTAGGGATCAGGCAGTCATCCTCCTACCTTCAAATTAGGGAAATATTTCGAGGAAAGACCACAATTGTCCATTCTAGCGCCTTTGTCGATGTTTTCTTTTCCTTTGACAAGTCAGGATCAAGCAATCATCCTCCTACCTTCAAATTAGGGAAATCTTCTAATAACCCGTGCACTCTTTCATATCTCTGTTCACCTTCTTCTCTCTCTCTCTCTGTCCTTTTCTCCTCTTCCATTCTCTATCTCCTGGGTATACTAAACTGTCTCCTCCCATTTTGATCTCCTATATCCTCTTCCCATACAGGCAAGATTAACTCCTCCTCCCCCCCTTCTTCCTCCCTCTTCTACCAAACAGATTTCAATCTTCACTTCTTTCCCCTTTGATTCCCTTCCTCTCTCTTCTTCCACACTCAGTTCCTCACTTTCTCTTATCTTCCTTCTCTCTCTCTCTTGTTCCAACGTCTCTAGTCGAGGGGACGGCTCACTCTGTTCTTTTTCTTTTTGGTCTACCACTCCTTCACATATAGGTAACCCAAAGCACTTGATTTAAGAAGGCAGTTCCCAAATATCGAAGCTGATCTGCCTTGGAAAGCATCAGATATTGGCATGTGAACAACACATTGATTTGAGTTTCATTAATACTTTGTTTGCATGTAATTTGTTGTGGGATCCAGAGACATTTGTACAGTTCGCACACCTTGCAGATGTTGCAGAACAAAAGTACTCTGTTGTGGACTGCATTAGAAAGACTGAGAGCTAGAATGACTAGCAGAAGGGTATCTATATCTGTCTGAAAGGAAACAGGCATAATGTGTTATTAAACTGAGTATCAATTTAGTACTTCTAACTTGCTACCTCTGTCTAACTGACGAGCGGATTCTTGATGAGTACCTCTTGTATTTCTGTTTCTTCCTGGTCTTCTGTGCAGGAACCTGAGAAGAAACTCCTGCCTTTTAGACACTTGGAAAAAGATCTGAGAACCCTCCATCGAGATCTTGTACACACAAGGTAGGAAAGATAATGAGTCACCATAAACTTAATGTCTGGAGAAAAATCAGTCATCCTAGCTACGAACACAAGAATGGTTTTGGGAATGGATGAGTACCACACTTGTTTTCTGAGCTTGAAGCCAAAAGCAGCCATCATGGTGATGGACGTTGACCAATTTGTATCCCAAGTCTTGATCTGAAGGAACATGTGAGGCTTAGTCATGGAAGATACAGTCCTTCAGGTAGCGTGGCTTTACAGGTAATGACCAGCACTTTGAATTAGACCCTGTTGTGGCAGGGACATCATATGCTCCCAATAAGTGGCTTCAGTCAGCAGTCTGGCTGCTATGTTTTGAACCAGCTGAAGTTTCTGAACCGTCTTCAAAGGCAGTCCCACTTAGAGCTTGTTACGGTAATCCAAGAGGGATGTAACTAACATTACATTTTAGGGACTTCTACTCCCCAATGGAGCCCTGCTAGTTAAAGCCAAACCAACTCCTGTTCAGAGTGATGGGCAGATGTTTGCCTACACTCTAAAATAGCCCCCAGAGTACAGTGCTTTAATTCTCTCCCCATGTAATTGAACAACACACCTTCATTTATGGGGGTGAAAGTAAAGGGATATACTGTGATGTGAAAATAGTCTTGGATGGGATTACACTCAGTGGTGGCCAGAAGTGTATTTGCATAATAAAACTAATGCACCAGCTACATCCATTTCTCAAGAGATCTGATCTAGCCACTGTGATACACACCCTAGTTACTTCCCGGCTGGATTACTGTAATGTGCTGTATGTGGGGCTGCCGATGGAAAGTGCCCGGAAACTTCAGCAGGTCCAAAATGCAGCAGCCAAATTGCTGAATAACGCTGTTTATAGGGATCACGTAACCCCCCTGTTACAGCAGCTCCACTGGCTGTCAAGCAGTTACCAGGCACAATTTAAAGTCCTGTTTTTAACCTATAAAGCCCTAAATGGCCTGGGTCCAAGCTATCTCAAAGACGGTATCTCCCATTATGAGCCTCCTCGGGTGTTAATATAATCAGGAGTGGGAGAGGGCTGTCTTTGCTCCCAGACTCTGGAAGTCTGTCCCACAGGCCCCATCCTTGCTATCCTTCTGCAAGCAGTCAAAGACTTTTCTCTTCAAGCAAGCCTTCTCTTAGTAACTAGCTACTCGTGTGTGATTTTTAGGTAGATCGTTATGCATTACTGCTTTGACTGGATTTTTAGTAGTACAGTACTTATATTTTCCATTTTTGTGTTTTCCATTTCTCAGAGTGACATTTTTAAAATCTTTGTTTACTTATTGATCTTTGCCTTAATATTGCTTGTTAATTGATGCAAGATGCCTCCTTATTCATTGTTCATAATTTTTGAAATATCATCTTTTGATGATGTTAACCACCGTTGTTTACTCATTGTGTTTTCAACTTTAAATATTGTCTTTCATTGTTGTAAGCCACCTTGGTTCCTTTTCAAAGAGAAAGGCGGGGTAAAAATATTTTAAATAAAAAAATAAATAAAATGAAAGTACACTTTCCTTGAATTCTGTGTTTTTATGTCTCAAGACATAATAAAAAATAATCTGGTCCTCAACAGGTCTGAAAATTAGGTAAGTGAACAGCGACATATGACGTACTGCACCCTGTCATCATTTATTTTACAAAAATAAAGCCAACACTCTTACTGCTTCCATAGGAATTAAGAGGCTAAGTAGCAGCCAGGTGCTGCTTATCAAAAGCTGACATTTGAGCAGTTTCCTGGTCTGAAGCATTCAGGTGTGTGTTAACCCAATGCCAAGGAGAAAACACATCAGCAGTGATCGGAGAGAAGAAATTGTTGCTGCCTATCAATCTGGGAAGGATTATAAGGCCATTTCTGAACAAGTTAAAGTCCATCATTCTACAGTAAGGAAGATTATTCACAAGTGGAAAACATTCAAGACAGTTGCCAATCTTCCCAGGAGTAGACGTCCAAGCAAATTCACCCCAAGGTCAGTCTGTGCAATGCTCAGAGAAATTGCCAAAAACCCAAGAGTTACATCTCAGACTCTATATGCCTCAGTTAGCATGTGAAATGTTAAAGTTCATGACAGCGCAATTAGAAAAAGACTGAACAAGTATGATTTGTTTGGAAGGGTTGCCAAGACAACAGCTCCTATCTGAAAGAACATGGCAGCATAGCTTAGGTTTGCAAAGTTGTATCTGTGCAAACCACAAGACTTATGGAACAATGTCTTTGGACAGATGAGACCAAAGAGGAGAGGTTTGGCCATTATGCACAGTACCAGGGTTTGGCGGAAACCAAAGAAAAGAGGAGAGGTTTGGCCATTATGCACAGAACCAGGATTTGGTGGAAACCAAAGACAGCATACCAGCACAGACACTTCATACGAACTGTTAAGCATGGTGGTGGAGCAGCAATGTTTCGCAGCCACAAGACCTGGGCACCTTGAAGTCATTGAGTCAACCATGAATTCTCCGGTATACAGTGGACCCTCGACCTACGGAATTAATCCATATTGGAACAGTGGCCGGAGGTCGAAAAGTCCGTAGGTCAAATACCATATTTGCCGATGTATAAGGCGACTGGGAGTATAAGACGACCCCCCCCAACATTCCCACTCACAATGTAGAGTTTGTTATATACTTGCTGTATAAGACTACCCCCTCTTCTGCATGCGTGATTCTGCTTTGGCTGCATCATAGGGAGAGTTCCTTTTGCCCCTTTTGGTTCCTTTTCGGAGAGAGCCAGGGTGGAGGGTAGGGTTTGCTGGACATGCACCCGGTGTACAAGACGACCCCCCCACTTGGAGGCATGTTTTTCAGGGCCAAAATGTCATCTTGTACGCCAGCAAATACTGTATGCATTTCCCATAGGAAGGCATTGAAAACCCTGTAATCTGTATGGCCTAAGACACACACACAAATTAAAATACACACCTTACCTGTCCGAAGCCTTCCAGGGGTCCCGCGCCGCTGCTGCCCACTGTCCGAAGCCTTCCAGGGGTCCCACGCCGCTGCTGCCCGCCGCCTCCAAGGGCTTCCCCACCACTGCTGGAGGCCTCTCGGAGGTCCCCCGTCCCCGCCGATGCAGGCTTTCCCACAGTGCATCAGGCCTACCAGGGGAGGGCTTCCCCCGGTAGGCCTGGTCTACGTCAAGGGTCCACTGTACCAAGGTATTCTAGAGTCAAAGGGGAGGCCATCTGTCCGACAGCTAAAGCTTGGCCAAAATTGGGTCATGCAACAGGCCAAGGATCCCAAGGCGCACCAGCAAATCTGCAGTAGAATGGCTGAAAAAGAAAAGAATCAAGGTGTTGTCCATGACCCAATCCAAGTCCAGACCAGCTGTGCATAAACAAAACGCTCACAGACGTCAATGAACTGAAGTCACTTGTCCATGACCCAATCCAAGTCCAGACCAACTGTGCATAAACAAAATGCCCACAGACCTCAATGAACTAAAGTCATGTTGTAAAGAAGAGTGGGCCAGAATTCCTCCACAATGATGTGAGACTGATAAAGTCATACAGAAAACAGCTCCTTCAAGTGATTGCTGCTAAAGGCGGTTCTGCAAGCTATTGAATCACAATACTTCGATTTTCAAACATGGCTTTTCCATTTTGGCTTTATTTTTGTAAAATAAATCATGACACGGTGTACTATGTCATGTGTTGTTGTTCCTCTGAGGTTGTATTTACCTAATGTTCAAACCTGCTTGTCATGTGTTGTTGTTCTTCTGAGGTTGTATTTACCTAATGTTCAAATCTGCCAAGGATGAGATTATTTTTATTGTGTCCTGATACGTAAAACCATAGAATTCAAAGAGAGTGTACTTTCTTTTTCACATGACTGCATTTAGAGGGGAGACACTATCGGGGCTCATCTCCTTCCTGGCCTATTTGAACATAAGGCACCGGATGAGGGTCCAGATTTGCTCACTATTTATTGGTCACAAGCATTTTCTCTGTACAGTATATGACTGAATAGGACATCACTGAGAATTGTTGCCAGCCGCTCTCTGCTTAGCCTCACCTCTTTGCCCCTTCAGAATTGTTGCCAGCCGCTCTCTGCTTAGCGTCACCTGTTTGCCCCTTCACTTCCCAGCTCTCTCTATCTCTCTCTCTCTCTCTCTCTCTCTGTATGGAACTCTTGCAGCCTGTGGACTGCATGTGGTTTCTCCATGGCTTTCTCCGCCTCTCAGTTTAAAAAAAAGAAGCAAAGAAGTGGTTTTTCCTGCTCTTGGCAGCTTCAAAGAACCAAGATTCTGCCTTACAGCAAGGTCTAGCCCCTCCAGCCTCCAGTCTTGTTTGGCCAAAAGGAGAAGAAAAACACGAAGTGGATGTGCAACCTTCTCCAGCTTTTGTTCTGGTGCAGGCTGGTGGCTCTGTAGGACTAAAAACTAGCCTCTGTAGTTTGCCACCCGTGTCATAGGGTGTTAATGCCAAGGTAGCCAAAATAGTGCTTACTTTTTATTTGTTGCGGCCATCAGGAACTTCATATGTCCTTTGAGTTTCCTGGTGACAGTCTTCAATGTAACATGGCACAGAGATGACAGATATCCACTAGGACAAGATCTCCTTTAAGCTACGTATTAGCGAGAAGCCTCAAATCCAGGCCTTCAGCCTCTCAACAAAGTGATTGTTGTTTTGCTGACAAGGCCTGCTTGTGGGCTTCCTGTAGGACTCTAGGGTGATGGCAGAGTGCTGGACTTGATAAGCCTGTGGCCCTCTGGAGCAAAGCCGTTGTGTTCTTGACTCCATGGACGTAGTAGTGGTGGGAACGGCAGCTAATAATTCCAACATACACAAGGGCAACCAAGGAGAGAGAGTTGTACCACAGAAACTTAATATGACGCAGCAGCAGATGACATTTGACTGCTTTATGACTTGGTTTCCAAAGCAGAGGCATGCCAGTGGAGAAAAAAAATGTCACAAATCACAGGGCCTTGAGAGATGACACTTGAATGATGAACAGAGGGGGTTTAAACTGAGGGGGGGGACTCCATTTGTATGCTCCTT